CTGGGACATGTCCCGAAGCATCAAAGATATCACTCAAACCCAATCCCAGACACTCCATGGGACTGCCATATATGCCGATCAGTTGGGGTGCTTTTGGTGGTCAATGTATAGGCATATATGGCATACATGGAGTGTCTGGGAATTGATCTGATTGTTCACCAAATCAAGCTTTCCGCGCCTGAGACAACCTCATGCACCACTGAATCGGTTGCTCATGTTTCTGGCGACTGCCTTCGAGATCTCCAAACGCTCTTCGTTCGTTTCACGCCGAATCAGTGGACTGTTGAAACTAGTCGATGCCTCGATGCAAAGCCAAAGTCGCTTAAGTCAGTCTTCTATTCAGTTCTCCAATCAGTGGTGTAGCCGTGCGTCAACGAGCTCCCAGCTGCAAACAGGAACAAATGACAACCCACTTGACCCACTTGGGAACTTTGCTTGCTTTTTGGACCAACCGAAGTGGCTTCACCATGCCCCAAGCAACCACCAGCGACGGCACCTGCCTGGCTGGTGCCCCCCTCCGCATGGGTGGAAAGCTCACTTGACAGCCTGGACAAGAACAGCTCATCACTCATCATCTCATCTAAATTTGTTTTAAATCCCAAACACTCCATGTATGGAATATCTAGTATATACCAACCTCAAAACTTCCCTAATGTAGGTAAATGTGTCATGCAGGAGTGTCCGGGAATGTCTTTTCCCAGACCGTCCACGGGAAGGGAATAGGTACTTAACATGCATGGGTCATCATTATCATTCATGGGGTAAATGTATGTGTCTATTCCAGTCCCATCGATGGTCGGAAGGTTTGTTTGATTGCTGGCCCCAACACTGGCCCTCAAAAGCTTTCTGCTGTCTGCCCGGTCCAAGTAGTGACCGAACATGTCGATCCTGGTATTGCTCTAGTCTACTTCATGGAGATACAGGGACAGGCGTTTGCCTGCAGACAGGTCATCAGGTGGTGAGGTGCAAAACCAAACAATGGGTTGTAGATCTATTTATATTCTCTTACAAGCTACATGAAACGACTATAGACTATAGAAGCAACTGGATAGGGAGGCCATAGGAAAGCCGAGGGGTCCTGACCGGAGATGTTCACCTCACCTCGCTCTTTGGGATCTTCAAATCCAATCAAGGAACAAGGACACTTGTCAAATAGCAGTGCTTTCAAATTGAAGGGCAGTTCCAGGTTGGACACTCCTCGTCAGATCAAGACAGAGACCTTCTCCACCCCAGCTTGGGGATCTATCATAACAACCAAATGAGCTGCCTCTGACATCCATGCACCGCTGTTTGCTGAACAAAAAACACCACAAGTCTCGCAGGTCTCTCCGAGGTCTCTCCGAGGTCTCTCAGCTTCTGATCCTGCTGTTTGCGTTGGTGAAACAAGGCACGCCTCTCCCCCGTGGGTGGACCTTGGACAGAGTGAGTCACGCCGTAAACGTGGGGTGCCCAGAATCGGCCGAATTCGTCGGAAGAGGCGTGGGCGGAATTCCACCTTTTTGTTCAGAATCACCCCCTGAGACGAGAGGAGGAACAGATGCCCCAACAACTGATCACCAAAGCCACTTGAAAGAGGGGGTCGAGGACCTCTAGTCGACTAAACAAAGAATGAAATCCTATAGATGGACTTGGCCAACAAAGCATCAAACCAGAATCGCCTCTTTGCCCAACACAAAAAAAAACAACAACAGCACACCGACACCACCGCATGAATGGAGCTTCATGAAAGCAACGACAGCTACGTTTCATCCACCCCCCCAAAACAAAAAGAATTCTACCAGGGCCCCTAAGGGGTGTCTAATTATAGCTCCTTAGAGGTATCCAGGGGTATCCATTAACCACCCCAAACCGGGGGCCCTGGTACTCACTGATCCGATCTACTCAGATCCCAATAGCAGCCATGCCACTGCCGGGCGTGAAGAAGGTCAAATCTCGGAGATTGCTCAAGAACCTCAGAGATGTCCGTCGCGTGGAAAACGCACGGAGAAAGGCCTGGGTCGTCAGGATTTTTTGTTTTCTCTAAAGGCATCTTCATCTGACGGTATGCGTGATGTTTGACTGATGAATCGAACCTTTTTCTTTTACAAAATCTGACAAATATGTGGATTTCTAGGGAAACCATGCCAGTGGAGCATGTTAACCACCCCCGTAGTTTGAAGGTTTCAACGAAGGTGATGTGGCTGAGCACAGTGGAAATGAACCCGCCCTGTTGCGGAGGGGCAACTCTTGTAACAAAAGGTAGAGCCAAAACGGAGACACATGCAGTGATACTAGAGTGCTCACGACAATGGTATGTTTTAGCTGGCATTCCCAAGCTCCTTCCCCATCAGCCCTAGTACAGATTTAACATGATTTAGCAAGTATGGTACCGCACCAAAGGACATCTAGGACATCTAGGACGTCTTAAGTGTCTACAGTACCTTCTCGCTTCTCAGACCGAACCAATTTGGCTTCTGACAGAACTCCCAGAATGATCAGAAGTCTTCGACCTGAGTCAGTCATCACCAGCCGACACCCGGGTCTCCCAATTCGGGTGATCGGAGCCGGGTCTCCCAGGGACCGCAGGCTAGACAAGGATTACGTAGCTTTTGGCAAGAGGTAATCAAAACGTTCATCTCAAGTTAGACAACTGACACAAACAATAACTCTACACTATAAAACCGCTTTCCACTTGTAGCTTAAACACAAGTGACACTTAAACTTAACAACTTTAGCTCAGTTTCATTCATGTCTATTAGCTTATTGTAACTTGATCGAACTTTTTCTAACCCGGCTATCTTTTGCCCAGTGCCACACATGTTAAGAGTTAAGGCCTACACTCCCCAGAGCGCAATTGACGAAACACTGGAGTCATCTGCCAAGAAGGGCGCTGGACAGCGCTGGACGGTACTGTGTACTTGAGCAAGATTTCAAAGTGTTGGTCCTTTAAGAAAGGACAAACAAATATCAGAATCCGAATCTGTCCGGACTGTGTATAGATTCCCCGAACTTTTAGCCACGTGGACAAGGAGGTGTTTGTATCCCTTTCTGCATTTTGAGTGTAGATTTGCAGAAGCTGAACCAATTCATCAGCCAGGCCTTGTTCCTTCTTCAACTCTGCAGGGGCAGATCGAGCCGCACTTGCCAACTCTTCAACGCTAGCAAGCAACTGTTGCATATGCATAGGTGTGAGTTTGGTTGCATTTTTCACTCATGAATTGACCAAGAAGGGGTAACTGCGATCTCTTGATGCAACATGGATCTCCTGCGAAAAGATCTTGTGAAGTCACATGTAAAGTCTCATGTCTTCCACATGTTTCAAATAAGAAACTACCAAGAACCACCTGACCTACCCCGACCATCAAATCATGCAGGAGTGGCTTAAAAAAACAAAGACTGATATTTATATATATAATATTATATATATATATACATTATATTATACAGATATAGTTTTAAAACAAAAACAACACAGAAAACACAAACATAATAATAAAATAATATACGATAATTTATATACATTTATAAACCAAGATCAAGGATCAGAGCGTGAAATTGATTTCAAATGGCGATCCCTCTCCCCCACCCTGGGCATCTCGCGGGAAGATGATCGACTTCGGCACGATCGAGTCGACCTGGCATGGCGCCGCCGTGGGTTGGGCAGGTCCCCAAACTCTTGGCATAAACGGTTCTCCGCAGGTCCTGTAGATTCAAGACGTAAAGTGCATCGTGTTCAAAGGATCTGCCTGCAAACGATCATGGATCACTCACTCACTGTGGATCTGCAAAAAGCATGTTGCTCGAAGCGGTCTTGGAACAACATGTCGACTCTCGTGGATGAGGCTCTCCTATAGAGTTCGTGCAGTTATTAACTGAAGGAAGGGGGGTAACACCACGTTCCCATCGGCTCTGCACTATGCATGGATTTCCAATATTACTACAGACTCCAGACTGCTCCGCTAATCCAGCACTTCCCACACCTTGGCACCGCCTGGCACATCGTTTGGATTGGTACGTGCACAGTTCTGTCTGGCATGATCCATTCGTGGCTCACTCGCCGAAAGACTGGCGGCGCTTCCCCCCACCCGTCTCGCATCGAGGGACCGCCTCGCCCAAGCGGCCGTGCCCCAGCGGCAGCGCTGCACCAGCATGACGTTGGCGCGTTCGTTCGTGCGACCGATCGGTCGTTCGCTTAGGGCGCGGTCCAGGGACCAGGGAATTTGGATCAAATGGATCTGCAAGGCTAATCCATGAGGGAGCATGGATGACAAAAACAAGATAGAAATGAATCTGAAATGATTGACTTCTTTTGGTGAGGGAGAGCTGTGTTAGAAGAAGGTGGTGTTGATCTCACAGGGGTTTCATTGAAGTCTGTGATCTCCTTTTTGTTGCATGGTTCGTGATCCTTCGATTGGGGGACTCTGAAAGAAATGCTGGCTTTCATGTGGCATGCGTGAACGTCTTCCATTCTGCTTTGAGGGGCTCGGCGATGCCTTTCAAAGGCAAACGCACCAAGAATTTCCAAGAAACCACGCTCTTCCAAATGCGGCGCCAACGGGGCCAACGGGGCCCAGAAGCCTACAGGCCTACCACAACTGTCCCGGGCTTGTGGGTACAAGTGCGAAACAACTGGATCGTCAAGGAAGCGGCGCCCCCATGTGTAGAGTGAAGCCGCTGAATAGAATTAAAGCCAGGAATCAAACCGGTCTTCAACACAGACTTATGGATAATTCGCAAGGGCTCCAACTACCTCCTTTTCGAAGATGGTTGTGGTGGGTTTGGGGGGTCTAACCACCTGAGGATATGGTTGGAGGTATAGGGATAACACACTTACAGTCCACAATCCTTCTGAGGATTCATCCCAGGCACCCCAGGATTCATCACTTAGCCTCCGGATCCGACAACCCTCCACGTCCAAATTACACCTCCATCATCCGTCCGTGCACGTCATCCCATCAACATCAGCAACATCACTAGTAAAACCATGTGAAATCCAACCGCAAATCAGAGGGGTCCATTTTTTCTCACATGGCGCCACACCTGTTCGCTTCGCCTTTCCTTGTCCTCAGACTCGGGGCGTCTCAGGCGTTCTCACGTCCAATGAGGCGCCACAGGGGGCCACGGCTGCTGAGCCACCTCACGTTGGTGCCATCCGGGACCTCGGCTGGTTCGCGATGGAAAAGCCCCAAAAGGCAGGTGCCCAAAAGGCCAAAAGGCAAGGGGGGGGGCAACCAAAAGGGAACAAAAATGAGCAAAACTTGTTGGATCCGAGAGTGAAACCCAGATTCAGATCCAACTAACTTGCTTTTTCATGTAATCAGTAGGGTTTGGCATGGTTTGGGTGTACCAACCACACACAAAACAGCAAAGTACCTTAGATGTCTCTACAGCCCACCGTGCTGGCTCTCTGGCGCGCCCCATTGATGCACCACCTATACTTACCTTCTCCACCTACGCCTCGCCACACCAGTGGTCCAGTAGCTCCAAGTGACGAGGCGTCCTTGTGCCTTGTAGTCATGATACTCCTGGTGAAGCCCGAACCAGAGAGTGGCACCAGAAGGTGAGAGGGGCCTGGTAGGCCTTAACAGCCTCTTGTTTTGGGGTCCTTCAGATTGGTCCGCATCCTCAGGTGGAACCGGCTTCAGCGAGACCCAGCAGAAAGCGAGGTTCTGGGGGATTCCCACAGATTCCGTACCCTATAGACTCTGCTTCTCTTCCCTGCTCATTGGTTCTTTCTGAAGAGGGTCTCACCAGCCTCGCCCCGCCAAAAAAAGAGATTTGCAGGACTTCAAAAGTCCGGATGAAAAGTCGGGTGAAGCTCGAAACACCACTTCAAAAACCCTGATTGTTTCATGAATCCAGTTTTTTCCACACGTGTCCTCGCACATATGCATGCGAGTCTGAACACACTTGCTTCGAAGATCCTCTTCCGCTACAAAGGCTTTCTGGCCAGCTTCTACGTCCCATGTTCGGGTGCCGAAGTGAGAGGTGGCCTATTGGTGCCCTGGGATGGGTCTCAAACGCAACTCCATGGAACAACTCCTGAGTGTCAAAACAACTCCATGGAACACGTCGCCCAGGACGTTACTCTAGGGCTCCTGGCCCACATCCTCACGTTCAGTGGTGAGACCCCACCCACCCACACACCCACCATCGAAACGAAACCAAGGTAGGCCAGCCCCAGGGTCAATACACGTCATCCAGGATTCACCAGCAGAGGTTGAAGAACCCCAAAAAGCCTAGTTCGACTATCCTAAAGGTAGCCCAAGTATTTTGGTTCCTTTCTCAGCTCCCCCCAGGTTGAGCCTTAGAACTCCACTCCCGGTTTCGGTTTCGCCGGCCGGACATCGTACCGAGCGGCCGAACGACACACTATATATATGTTAACCATTGTTAACCCTCCTAGAACAAGTCCTATAGGTCCTATATATGTCCTTGATTCCGGTAGACACAGAAATGAGATGCCTTTGATGCAGCCCGAGTGTGATGTAGTAATCACTTGGTCTGGCAAAGATGCCCGAGTGTGATGTAGTAATCACTTGGTCTGGCAAAGATCTCTACCAAAGGGGCAAAGGGGCTGACTGGGACGAAAGCAAGGAATGAGGGTGGCGAAAATCCTCAGGTATCTGTAAGGGATCAGGATCATGGTCCATGGTCATCCTCTCATTCTCTGCGGTCATCGCACCAGGTCTGTGAGACGATGGCGCACGCCTCTTTCTGAAGCGACACGTTCGCTGGATCAGAAGCGACAGGTTCATTGGACCGGAACCGAGCAGACCCAAGAGTTGAACACCCCCGCACTTCATTTGTCTGCGAATGTCCATACAAATGACTGACCTATCCCACCTGTAATAGGCCTCTGAGAAGACGGTGACATGTGCCTAGATTTGAATCCAAATCTGCTCCCAAAAGCCACAAACATCTCATAAGGACTTCTTTTGGAATAACAAAAACAATGAATCCTGTACAACCACATGCCTCTCCATGTGGGCTGAGCCTGCTCAAGCTGTACCTCTTACTTTGAAGAGACTTGCCTTTCTTTGGCCACGGTGGAGAGAGATCAACACATGCATAGCTTGCTGATAGCCGTATATAGCCTGCCCGAGACTTGCCCGTCTGCGAGAGTGGACCAGTGTAGAATGTCCTTGATCCTTGATCTGTCCTTGATCACCGACATGCTTGATCCTTGATCCTTGATCCTTAGTGTTGATCCTTGATCCTTAGCATTGATCTTTGATCCTTGATCTGTCCAGTTGATCTCAGCACCGCCATGGATTTCAATCGATCTGCGTCCCCTGCGTCAGGCTGAACCCGGCGCAGCTGGGCAGTGAGCAGTGTTGCTGTCTTGGAGTCTCCTCACCTTTTTGTTAAGCCATCTATGAAAACAGCTCGCGGACCTCACCAAAATACCTCTTCAGGAAATGAACCAATTAAGTCACCCGGCCGATCGTCATTCACTTGTCAGACCATCCTGGTTAACATCGACAAGACCCACCATTCCGGTTTTGTCGGTCGGGGCTCGGCCGATCGGAGGAGCTTCCCACAGTCACTTCTTCTCCACGAAGGACACGGCCTGGTCCAGGCTGGCACGGAACTGTCCTGCATGGCTGCATTGACGATCCACGGTGGAAGATTGGAAGAGAGGGGAGAAGGAAGGTAGAGCTCGTTGTAACAAAAACATCCATATAGAAACAATTTAGACTACATGTTTAGGAACTCATCTATGACCCTCGGACCCCTCTGCACCTCCAATTTTTGGATATTGCCCATGGATTGTTAGGCTCATTCGTTTACTCGACCACATCATCTGACACCCCAGTCCTAGCTTCGACATGTCCGCACGCATGGCATAGACCTCCTGCGCCAGCTTCCTGAGATTCCAGAGAGCGTCTGAAGGCGTGCCACGAGCGGACGCTAGCGGATGCAAGCCTAGTTGCAGAGTTAGGATGCCATCAGGAGTAGGTTTAGTGATGTTTAGTGTAGCATGGAGTAGACCTGAACCCATGATAACCCATCGAATTCGCCCTACACAAAAGGAACCATCCGAGCTATATACTCTAACATCCTTACAAGGTCTTCATAAGACAGCTTGGTACAGCCACAAGCTGCCAGTCATTCAGTGGCAGACTGCTTCCTGGTCAGTCTGGTATTGATTCAAGTTAGGCTCCTCCAGCAACCTAACTGAACTGAAGAAGTGCTGAGGATCCCTGTTCCAGCTCAATCCAAGTGAGGCGACCACGTTCCAAAAAACTCAGGGAGAGCTCACCGTGCAGTTTAGCCATAAAACCTCCTCAGCTTAATTTAACTCTTCAGATTTCTTTTAGGTTTCCAAACATCAATCAATAAATCAATCAATCACACCTACTCTTCAATCACACCTGTTCAATCTTTCACCTGCTCTTCAATCAATGAATCACACCAGTCCAGCCAGGACGTGGATGTTCTACCAGTCCCAGCCTGGTCTGGCCACCAGCCAAGAATTCACAGATAAGGCTCTTATTTGATTCCATCTGAGCCTTGTTTTGGTTCTTGCTTTCCTTCAAGTCTGACTCCAAACTCAAGTGAATCGTCCTCGGTCTGAGTGCATGGGCGGACTGGGCATGCGTGGGCCTGGTCTGCAGATCTGCACTCCTCTTCAGTGCTTGGTCCCAACTTACATATCCAAAGGAGCACGATACGCACAACACAACGCTAGATGTTGTTCAATCTAGTTTCAAGCAAAGGCACTTCAATACTGATAGAACACTGAAACTAACACTGAGACATGTGCTCTGCATCGTGAATGTTGTTCTACTTTTGCAAAGATGACAGGTCTAGGATCAGGATCACAAGACATGTAAACACCAATTTAACATATCACATCACCACGACGATAATTCCAAAACAGTATGCAAGATTCCTCCCATGTTACACCATCAGGTTTTCGGGGTTCAAGGATAGTCCTTGACAATGCTTGCAATGAATATTTCCCAGCTGGACGCTCAAGGACAGGTTAATCATGTCCACGGAAAGTGGACAGCTTTTCTTGCAGGTGGACCCACACACACACACAAAAAAAAAAAAACACGTGGTTTTTCGAGGTGCAACCCCCCGGGAACTTCGTCCAGAGGTAAGTAAGTTCAACATCAGCACTACGAAAGAACCCTGAACAGGTTCTGATCAACACGCAGTGTTCTGGTGTATGAAAAGGTTCTGCAAAGGAACCCTGTTGTTGATCTTTCAATAATAAGACCCTGGAAAGATCAACGTCAGCACTGCGCAAGGCTCGGCACATCGTCGGCCGAGGCTCCGTAGCTCTTCCCCCTTCCTGCGCAAGGTCTCTGCCTGGACGAACACACCAATCACCTTGCCTACGGTCAGGCCGTACTACAACATCCTGCCGCAACTGATTGTTCGAATCCCTACTAAATAACCAATGAAAACCAAACTATAACTTTAAGGGGTGCTGAACTGCTCAAGTGTTGTTTTCACGCGTTGGGACTCTTGAGATCTCTTTCCTTTTGTCTGGCCACCGGAGATCCCACACCAGCGACCAGGCATGACCACCACTGCCGCAGCTGAACAGCTCCAGCCTCGGTCTTGAGGTGATCCAAGCGCCGTTCCAAATCCCTCACCTTCCTTTCACTGGCCAACTGAACCATCTCGCAGCCTGGCCATTCAAGCGCACGCTCAAGCGCCAGCGCGCCACGCGCCACGCGCTCGTCCACCCCGCGCTCGTCCTCTGACCGACGCACCATCCGAGCACGAGGGGGTCGCGCGGTCTGGGGCCTTTGCGGATGGCTTCCTGCCAATCCTCTGAGCGCACCACCGAGTCCGGGTTCTCCCAGTCGCCTCACGATCAGAACGGAGAGAACTGCCGCCCGTTTCCAGAGTACCAGGGGGCTTCAAAGGCAATAACTCTGGGTTCTAATCTCTCACCATCTCACCACCTTTAAATCGATCTCAACTGTACAATATATATTGTAGAATTATCTGTAGTTATAGTACTTGTATATAATATTTTTGACAGTAGATATACATACACCAGTGCCATTTCAACCACCAACCACGTGCAGCAACCACGCAGCTTCCAACGGGCGCATGACAGCGAAACAAAAGGTCTCAGCGACATCTGATGGGCCAGGGATCCACTCAACCACCAAACACGCCCATGAGTCCATGAGTAGACTGTCTGTCCAATGCTAGGCCTTTGAAAGAACATCGAAACCGTGCTATTTCGAAACCGTGCGGCTGAAGGCGCCAATGGAACTCAGAGGACCACCACTCCGAAACCGGCTCGTCGCTCCGGTCGCTCGGTCACGTCGATGTCAGAGCTCGACGGTCGCTCGGTTTCAACCGAATGGGGAAGATCCGACACCAAGGACCTGCCAAAGGGGTCACCTGGCGGTCTTCACCAGGGACACCCCGACCAGGAATATCACCGTGAATATGTTTTTCTTTCACTGAAACAGAGATCTTCCGGGCTGAACACCGGAGCCAAAGAAGATAGTTCAAGATGATTAACTGCCGATATATAGAATAATATAGAAGATGATGGAATCTTCGGCCTTCGGCCAGGGATCTTGCATGGGACAAAGGTTCGTCATACTTCCACATATGCCAAACACTCCATGAATATACAAGATGCCTACAACCCCTATGCCAAACCCTACACCACCCCAACTGATTGACAACTATTCCAGTTCCAGAAGGCGGTCGTGTCGACGTGCATTTCCGGGTGATCCAGCAGGATGGAGTTGGAGAAGCCTGCATCCCCCAGAACTCCCTTCTGGAAGCAGCACACACCACTCCCCTTTTGCGAAGAAACCATCTCTTTTGCCGAAGCAAAAAGCAACCCCCACGCACTTGAGGTCGCTTGGAAGGAAAAAACACATCGCAAAAGGTCGCTCCGTGGCCCAAGTCACCCAGCTTGCTGCGGCTCCCCATCTGCCTCTCTCCCAGCGCCGCAAAAGAAAGTGTTCTTGTTCTTTTCCGGATTGCCCGGCTTGCTTGAATTTGTGCATGCTCGTAAGTATGCTTTGGTACAGCAGTCACCTTGCTTGTGCCACTTCATCTTGTAAACGTAGCTCTCCACATGGAACTTCAATCATGTCATGTACTGCATTATTCCGCTTTGCTTCAATGACCTGTGTCTGGAATGGTCCATGACTTCCTGACACCAGGTGAAAAAGACACTATTGTTGCGTGTGTCCTCTTCAACTTATTAACATGCTGTTTTTTTGGTGTGTGTGTGTGTGTTTGTTAAACTGTCTTTCTTGATCTTTCTTGCAGCAGCCACAAGAACGATTTATCCACATGACTATATCAATTAAGTTTAGCACTTATAAATAGATAATTACAAGTATATCGACACCAAATCATTCAGATAGAGCGCCTGGTCTCTTGAGCCTAGACTCGGCAAACAAACAGCGGTCTGTGGCGATCTATGGTTTTCTCACCAGGCACGGTCGACTCGCCGAAGGTTCGGCAGAGCGAGATCTCTGGAACTCAGTCACACACACAAGGACCCTGGAACAACATTTAGTGAATGCCACGCGACCGGATTTGATCCATGTGATGACTGGTTCATTACAAATCGATGAATTGGGTGACCTCTAGTTTGGACCATGAACCACCCAAACTATGGCCTTTTCCTATATGTGACAACAAGGGTCACTCAGGTTCAAGGAAACTATAAATTGGGTGAGCTGACCAAAATGAGTGTTACCCCCCAATTTCATCAGCTTGTTAGATTCCACTATTGAAAGAGCCATGTGTTTTGCATCACTCCGCGTATAAGTGCAAAGGCGCATGTGTGCAATTAGCGCGCGCGCGCGTGCGCTTGTGGCGCGGCGTGTGGGTCGACCCGGCACGGAAGCTCCTTCTTCGTGTACTTCGTGAAGCCAAACTTGTTGGAGACGTGCACCTTCTGACGTCCCGCAAACTTGGCCGATGCCCGCCTGCGACGGCCGAACGAGACGGCCTGGAGCCGGGAGGGAAACCAAGAGGGAAGCCTATTTATACAGATCTGCGTGATCACACTGTGGTACCTTCTAAGATTAAGATGGGATCCATTTGGCACCTCGGATCGTTGAAATGTGAACCACGTGGAAGGAGACGGTGAGCCTATGTTTGCTGACCTTCTGCGGATGGAGCAGGGAGCGAGATCTTCATGCGGTGGATCATCCTTTTCGCCCCGGTCTCTTGGCACGAAGGTTGGATGAAGCTTTCGAAAGGGTCCCTGAAGGGCTTCATGGTTGCGTGGATGACCGTTTTCCCCTTGAAGGATGGCCGTTTTCCTGTACAAATGGTGCCATCCACGTAACCCATGATTTCAGGGAGTGTAGATCCTTGCGATGTACACAGCCACATGTGGTGGACGATCGTTGGATGACCGTTTTGCGATGTGCGGAGTTGACAGCATAATAACTAGACTCCCCGAGTAACATGGACACCTGAGAATGGTATCCAGTGCGACCTATTCCGCATGAATTCACCATGAGGTTTTCAGAGTCCATGTTCGTGTCTTCAGGGTAGTCCATGCCACATCATCCTTCTCTTCCTACACAGCAACCCGGCCTGCACAGTTCTTTCAGCTATCCTATCACTCCAATCCCTGTACTTCACTTGCATCCTCATGGGTTGCACACCAATTGCATGGGTTGCTAACCTATCCATCCTCCTGTACTTCACCAATCCCACCCATGCACCGTCTGTCGATCGAAACCTCAAGGCTTCCACAGCGAATTGGATCTTCTCCTCCTTGGTGCGCAAGGAGATCAAGACCTGCCAGGACGTCAAGAGACATCATCCCTCTGAAAAGGGTCCAAATACCGTTGTTTCCAATATATCTTCCGTTGATCATTTCATTGATGTGTATCCATCTGTGTCCTACACGCAGAAGTGACCTGCCCAGACTCGCCTGGCCGATGTCCACGCGCGCGGCGGTGCCGTAGGGCTTGCCGAAGGCGCCGCGCATGCCGCTCGAGAGGCGATCCGCCCCGGCGCAGGACAAGGTCCTCGGTGCGCTCGGAGCCCGGTGACGCTCCCGACCGGGTCTCGGGAGACCGGAATCGCTCTCCTCTCTCAGGCTCCAGGCTCAAGACCGTGATCACCGCATGCTACTAACTTCTTAGTCTTCTGATGTGTGATTGTGCAGTATTCCACGCACAATGGCCGGGTGAGGATGGATGAGCCAAAAGTCCCGCTTCCAGGCACAGTTCCCCTGTGGAGCTAGCTTAAAATGCACAGATCGGGCACCTCGAAGATCCCCACTGGTCCCGCACACATCCCATGCACGCGTGGCTGTCAACAAGGCGCTTGTTGATGCGTAGCACGTTGAACGGGTGAGGCCGGATGCCTCCGGAGCGACGCAGCGAAGCTGAACGAAATGATCTAGAAAGGATTTTGATCCATCAGATTGGAGGGTGGTGGAAGAGATGCGATTGGACATCGAAAAAAACAAGATGTAAACTGTACAAAATATGAACAAATATATATATATATATTTACAGTAACAACTATATAGCAACACAATTTGAAATGATAGTAGGACAACATGCGAAACAAACACGGCATACATAGACATAAGGTTAGCTAAGGTCAAACAAAAACAAAGCAAAAAAAAGCTAGGCAGGAAGAAAAAAACACAAACAATAGCGTAATTATGGAGCAACCCCCCACCCCACTGCTTATGTCCTATTTGTGTTGAATCGTTTTCCGTTCTTTGATCTCCCAGGAACATGTTGTGTTTTGTGTTCATCTGTTTTGTCCACATCTTAAGTGGTTCCTATCTGTTTCCTATGTTCTTCAAGGACTCTGCAGGATGATCACAACGATGTGGCAGCTCAGAAGGAAGAAACATTTGGCTGCGTCACCCCCTACCTACATCCCTGGTCACCCCCTACCCCTACCTCTCAGGTTTGCCCTGGCGTGAGGTGATCTATTTTTCATGGACATTCTGGTTCCTATGTTTTCTATGTCGATCTGTTTAGTACTATTTGTATACATCTGTGTGTTCAATTCCTTTCAAGTGTTTTTTGTCTGTATGTATTTCTCTGATGTGATTTGTTTGATCGCACCCAGTGGAAGCTTAGCTTTCTCAACATAAGCATGTCATATTAGTCCAGTCAAGGAGTTTCTGGCAGAGGGTGTCCCCAATCCCCAAAAAGGGTTAAATGTAATCCACCTTTCCTGGATAGGCTTGGATTTGCTTAAAGATCCGAAGAAACAAAAAATCACATAACTACTCCCTAGAAGGGGATTCAACCATAGGGAAAATCACATATAACCCTAAGCAAGTCCTAGTAGTTAGGTATCTAAAGGAACCGAGGAACACTGCACTTCAACTGCTCCAGCGCTCAAAACGGTCAGTCCTACACGGCCCATGCACCGCATGCCATCCAAAACCACTGTGTAGAAGCCAAGCACAACAAACCATAAAACACCCATAAAACAAATATCCATGCAACCCCCCACCCCCTCAAGTAAACAATGATCCGTCAGATCAACCACCCTGTCCTATGACTTGCAAACAAAAAACTGTGACATCTCTTGGCACACCAAGGGTGATTCGAGGAATCTGGAGGATTGATGCAGGCAAACATCACCATAGTCACTCCAGCTGGGCACTGTTTCACAACGCTTGACAAGGTGCGAATGTGGAAGAAATCCTTCCCAGCATTGGTCACCATGTACCTCAGTCACATGCGTGGCTAGTCTTTTTCGGACATCGAGTCAAAGAAAAATTGACGTGACACCGTGAAGACACAATAATTTCAATAAGTTATATATATTTAGACTCAGACTCACTATTAATACAGTAGATACTATTCGGCTATGAAAGGTTATGATAGGTACACCTGGGATTACAACAAAGGCAAAGTCTTGAGTCATTTCATCCATATCCTAATCACTTTTCGTTTGGACTTACTAAAACGGACCGCAGGACTTCAACATGTCAAAGATCCATGTCTTTTGCCAGTCATTTGAAGAGGACAGCTGCCCTTCCTCGTCACCGAAATCGCTGAAACCACGCCCTAGCCCTCCAAGCACTGCTGGGGTGGGGATTGCAGGACCGGAGAAGCGAATCCGTGGTCTTTTGTGGCACAATCCGTACATCCAATCCCCATCAGGGTAGTTATAGACATGTTGCCAATCAAGTGTATCTGTTGTACTTTAGGGTCTCTCCCATCAATAACAGTGGATGATAATAATGGTTCAGTTGCAGGCCTTTCTCTCAAATAGTGACTGCTTAACGACTGTTACGGGTAATTAATAGGACAGTGACCCAATAAGTTGTACTGTTTTTGTTTTACGAATCTAGTTGAGGGATTTTTCGCTGCAGTTAATATCTCCACAGCAAGCCAAACGGATGAACCCAAAGAATTTGGCACAACGCCCTTACATATCTCCACAGCAAGTCAAACGGATGAACCCAAAGAATTTGGCACAACGCCCTTACAGGGAAACGTGGCAACATAAAAGGACTCTGACTCTGCCACATTTCCATCTACAATCATCCTGCAATCATTTGATCCCTTTCCTTGTCTCACCCTCTGATGTTCTTGATCTGGAAAGCCCTCGCCTCCCCAAACCCATCGTTTCAAGTCCGGCACCCCGCCCCCGCCACCGCTCCGGCCACGCGGCTTGTTCACGGCGATGCGCGCCGCCTCGAGCGCCTCGGAGGTCAACTGCTGGTCCTCGTCGCAGACCAAGTGCGCCGCCGCAGGGAACCTCCGTGGCGGCGCAGCGGACGGAGCCCCATGGCTGGCTGCTCGAGCAGGTCCGGCCAGGTCGAAACGCTCCCATGTGTTTGGGCGGGTTGGACTTGGTGTGCTGGGAAAAGCAGTTCAACGCGGTCACGAAGTTGGACTTCATGTCGGGGTCACCGAGCCAACAAAGACCCTGAAGACTCTGGTGGATCGTGTTTCTTGGAACCGTGTTGTTTTTTTATGTGTCCTCATGTGGTGCAAATTAGACTCAACAGTGAAAAAAGTCAGGCACTGGACATGGTGAATACTGCCAATACTGGACATGGATATGTTGCACATGAGTGGATTGGGAGAATTAGTCCATGCAAAAGCTTTGTGGATTGTACACGTGGGCATGAAACGTTATCATCCAAATGGATGAAACTATTTGATGTTCCAACAAACACATCCTAGGGAGTTGGCTAATCCAGACCCCTATCAACAATTATTGATTTCACTTCATACACTGATCTGTTTGGTCACATCTGACAGGATCAAAGATTGGTGCCTTGTATGGCCTCAAGACATGGGGATAAACTGTTGTCAACTAGTTGGAATGGGATGTTGTGTGTTTTCTCTTGGACCAACATCTTCTCCACTTTTAATCAGGTCCAACAGTTTTTAATATCATTAACCATTAAACAATCCACCACTCATTGCTCTTTTCTCCTCAACCAGGGGCATGTTGGATGACTCAGTATGAAGCTCCAATGACTTTCTATTCCAATACATCCAAACAAAACTGAATATAACTGAATATGCCTGTGTGACCAATGATGTTCTTTGACTTTCGACGCCAAGGTGCAATGATTGTGACCATCCATTCGTGATTTGTGACAGGATAAATGTAAAATGTACATATTATATCTGTATATATATCAGAATTTATGTGCGGAAGGTCAATCACCATCAAGACACATCACTTCAGGAATGGAACGTTTTCCACCACTGCTCAGGAGTGATTCATCTGGGTGTGATTTTTGATTAGGGAGACCTCCCAGGCAACGACCCCCTGGAAGAAAGGAAATAGACCAAAAGCAATTGGTTGGAGGTCTCCCGATTTTTAGAACCCACCCAATCTGCTTCTGTGCCGTCTGGCTTATGAAAATCCCAAACGGACCCGTGTGGAATCATCGGTTGGCTGGAGATCTTTGGGGTGGAGATCATCAAGCAGCGACTTTCAGAAAGGAATGGCCCAGGTGAAGGGGCAACAAACAACCTCACGGAACCGATGTGACCAGGCTTTAACCTCTTGAGCACCCTCACTGACTTGGGTGCCACAGGGAATAGACAAATGGACAGATTCTTGGAAGACTCGATATCATCAGCCTAGCTGCCGATCTGTTGAGCCTAACAGAATGACACGCCGATCTCTACTGCTCAGTGTTCATCGGTTTAGTTTCATGTCTGTGATTCTGGACCAACATCAACTGCTTGCCAGCAACTCATCGCAAGGCATCTTCTTCTTTCCGACATCGAAAATACCTCGGAAGCCATCTCGCCCGGATTCAGCTGAAAGCTGTTCACAAGCATGCGGACATATGTGGACATTTGCTCCCCATATCAAACAAACATATGTGACGTGTGTCACCAAATGTGAGCGAACCCACCTCTTTTAGAATTCAAGCACTCAAGTGCCTTACTAGTAGTAACAAGAAGCTACTAGTAACAAGTGCATCGCTTCTAGTAACAGGTGCCTTACTAGTAGTAACAAGCACTCATGCGGGCGATGTCCGGTTCGCCCCATCGGCTGGAGTCGAAGACCTCCCAGGCTGGAAGCCGTGACATGCCGTGACATGTGTTGAAGTGCGGCACAGTAGGGGCTTTTCGTCTAGTACAAAGGTGCCATACTCGTTTGAGCGCAACTAGCGCACTTGGGGTTACATCATTCAACAACACATTAAAGTGCGGCACATGCATGAATGCCCTCGAGAGTGGCACACAAAGAGTAACACATTAAACAAATACCAAACTTTGAGACCTGTGACCCCAAGATATGACACCCTTTGCCCTCTCCCATGGTAATTGAATGTGTTTGGTTATGGCGGTCATTTCTATCATATTCAAATCACCTGTTTGCAGCATAAACTATTTCTTTGCCCAACCTCACTAAGTCCTGTTAGACTCACCCCACGACTCTGGAAAACATTGACGTGAAGAAAACAAAAATCGCCTCCACAAACTCAGTGAACATCCTCAAATAATCTCAAGACAGTGTGATTTCAGTTCATGTTCTTTTTTTGGGAGGAAACCAGCTGGGCATGAAACAAACACCAACATGTTGGTGGCCCAACAAGCAGTGGTCATCTGTTACAGAGTCTTGGCAACGCACAGCCCGGTGTCGCAAAGAAAAGCACCATTGGTGTCGCCAAGGCACGGATCTTGGGGTCAGGCACGCCGCGGCAGTAGCCTTAAACAAATGAACGTGAAGTCCTGGCGTGTGAAGTGCCAGTACAGCATAAGTCCTTGGGGCTCCTGGTCTACCTTCAGTTCGGTGCGGTGGGTTACTGGGGTGGGGTTCAGTCCCTACCTTCTGAAAATGTGGGAGAGGAGCCCTAGAGAGTTTCAGTACTTTCCCAAGATGTGCTGCCTAGCTGCGGGTCTTTGGGTAAGGCTTGTTCTTGTTGTAGCGGTAGCACTTGGCTGGTCGTCGCCCCATGGCTGCGGATGAGCTGTGGCTACAGGTGAGGTGCTTCCTGGAAGCCAAAAGCCAATAAATGGGTCGAGCACTGTACACCAAGCAATGTTGAAGTCTTGTGAAGTGACATCTATGTTCCATGGTATCATTATACTTCTAGACAAGCACCTGTGGACTCGCTCTCTATATCAAAATGTCAGTGAGTTTCAATAATTCTGCATATTTCGACAACATCCTGCCTGGTCCAATTAACCAGGTCCTCCAGTTTACCCCACCTCCCAAGATGCAAATGCAACACATTCGAGTGATTTCAAGTAAAACTCTTGAGACGCTTCAACATGGGGAGATCCCAAACAACAAAATAAAACGCGCCTCAAAAAGGCACTAACTTCGCTTGGTGAGTGAGATCGTTCAGGTCTCGTCGCCGTCCAAACCCAGTTCAGGTCTCTTCTGTATCTTTCCACTTAGCTCCTTCAGAGGCATGCAGCGCATGGTCACGTGTCGCGCATGGTCACGCAATGGTAAGAGGTCCCCAGGTTCTTTTGGCGCGACCGGTGTCTGTGGTCTTCAGTGTGGCAAACGGCCTGGTCTTATAAAAGAAGTTGGATCAGGGTACAGCCTGGAACCACGAACCAACCTGAATCATCTTACGATGGTTGATAATAAGCTCTGCACCGTTTTTTTCGTCAAAACTGGTCAAATCATCTCCATGATATGGTGGATTTGTTCATTCAACATCCACCCAGGACCTCTCTAACTTTGTTGCACCACGAACCCACGCTTGGACCTCGAGGTTCTGCGCAGTCCCCGGTTCCACCTTTGGGTTCCACGAAGACGACTTTGGCGCTGCGGGTAATCGGTGACTGGTGAAACTGCCGTTGGTGCCTTGGTCCTTTGCAATCCTTCCATTAAGATCCTGAAGATCATGAATCCTGCTATAATATAGATATCGATATAGTACCCCCCTCCCCCCATAGAACGTTTCTGATTTTTCTTGGGGTGTCGGCGAAGGCAGGGATCTTTTCATTGACCTTCTCAAGTGTGCACCAACGAAGTGTCAAAACTTGACCCAACCACCCAATACATGTGCCATGGCATATGATGATGGACCCTTCTTCGATCAACACCGAACTTCACGCTTGAGGGTGAGCTTCCGTCAGCTTGATGGCTTGGACGTCCCTCTACGTTTTCTTTCCCGCCAACACACAAATAACATCAAGATTAGACTGCTATTTCCTTCAGCCGAGTTATTATATAGCTTATTTGTGAATAATATATTCAGTATGACATAACTGTTTTTGTCACTTCATGTGGGCCAATGGTCATTCTCGACATAGTCTTTGTGACATCTAAGTCTAATAAATAAGTCTAAAAGCTTTAAGTTTGGCTCCTCGCCCGGTGCATGCCGCATGCCGAACAATGCATGGAACAAACCTGTTGCACCACTTGAAACCTCGTGGCTGATCATTGTTGAAGACCATTTGGATTGGTACGAAACACATGGCATGGGCATGTATGTGTGGTAATTACGTTTACCAAGCTTCTGGGAACTCAGCTTTCTTTTGGTTCTCATGGAAATGTCCCTCTGGCATGGATGTCCTTCCGTGAATCTTCTCATGTTATAGAGGAATCTGAGGGATCATGTTCATCGAAACATGTTTTCCAGAATACCTATATAGGCTTTTTGTCGGCATAGTTCCTCACTTCATGGACACCATCTGGTGGATTCAATATCTCGGATCAAAAGAACTGACTCATTCCCAATGAAACTGGAACTTTGTGCCAGCATGTGCCAAATCCACCCTAAGGCTCGCTCAAGTGGGTTGTTCGATGGCAAACATATCGTGGGTCTAGCAACCGCTTGAGCAGGTGCCGCAGGAGACTTCTGGCTCCGCAGGAGGCTCGGGCACCAGGAGACCGGCGCGCGGCAAATGGCGGACCAGGGCTCCACGGTTTGGACCTGTCCCCATGTGTCAAGGATAGGCCAAGCGATGCCAGGACGGCAGCCCCGCAGTCCCCGCGAAGAGCCTGACATGCTCGTCGTGGGGCTTGGAGGGCGCCCGGTTCACGCTGCTCTCAGCGACTCCCTTGTACCTGGAGTGGATTCGAAGAACGAAACAACACAGCATCACAAACGAACAAACAAACGAACAAAGAAGCAAACATGCAAACAGATCTGCTTTGGGATCCAACGTGCTGCGGGATCCAACGGAACTTCTCTGGTCGGTCGGTGCCCGGTGTCTCAGTGTGTTTCTCGAACACACACTTTGGCAGTTCTAGATAGACTCATACTCATCTCTCTATCAACTAGACTAACTACTATGAAAACGAGGTTAGGAGCACTTAGTTCTTCTTCCCGCCACTCTCCGAACGCGCACGTTCGGACGGAGGAGCGGGAGGGGTAGACCTCCCCAGCTGCTTGAGAGGTCCAGGTTGGTTCCAGGCCAAACCTCCCGCGCGGCTGCTTTCTCAACGAGAATGCGGGAACGAAATGGTGAACCTGTCCTTGGTTGCCCGTGGTCTAGCAATGGCTATTAAGTGTGTAAGGAAGTATAAGTGTATGCTCTCATGAACAGGGTATACTGGGTATACCTAAAAGATCAAAATTGCTAAGATAAGATTGCAACATTATATGCATACTATTTGGGGGGGTATATACAGGCTTTGACAAACAATGTTCTGAAAGGTCTAAGATGGTCTCAGGGACTGCCAAAGGGCCAAAAAAACTCCGCTAGGAGTCTAGGAGGTTTTAGAAGATTTCTTTCAAAAGGAGCCAGCCATGCAAAGCCTCCATGATCCTCCATGCATTCCCCCGCAAAAAAACAACTTAATCCAATGTATTTTTTGGAGCACCGCCCAAAGGGTCCCAAAGCGCCCATTCCATCCTCCTAGTTCGGCCCAGCTCACCGACCAACCGCTCGGCCTGGGAGGCTTCGGTCGGTCTTCGAGTTTCCGTGCGGTGCAGTTCTGCCGCCAGGGACTGGGTGGACAAAGGCTGTGAGTCGTACGGCCAGGTGTCGTGCTCGGCCTCGCGACGGCAAACCATGCGGATGCCGTGTGTTCTGAGACAAAGACAGGAACAAACAGGAGTACAGCTTAGAGACAGACAGGAGTACAGCATAGAGAGAGCAGCTTCTTTGGGGAGCCTTAGCCAAAGAGGGGAGTTGTTTCACGTTGCTTTTCTTACACCATTTTCTCCAAAAGAGTGTCATGGACATCACGAGTTTGGACATGTATGCTGTTCTCTTCAAATCACATGCACAGGCATATGGTCCATGTTGTCAACACTTGGCTACTGATCAATTTGTATAGCAAAAGAGTCCTCGACTCGCGGGCAAACATCTGTTTGCCACGTTCCAGGTCAACATCATGCCCTAGGGCTCCTGTCCCATATGGTGGTTAGACCCCCCAAACCACCCACCCCAACCATCGAACCTCAGGAGGTGGGCCAGGAGCCCTAGGGATGGTTCAAAGATGTCCAGTGTAGCTGCAGTGTAGCTGCTTCCCTCCCTGTCCAGCACCGCCTGGCCACCATCTGTCCTCGTTCCAACGCCGCGCCCACCCGAAGAGCGCACCTTTGTGCGAAGCTGAGCTCTGGTGGTAGAACAAAGCCAACGGCCTCAGCGAACTTCGTCACACATGAGCCGCAAGCACGGTTTTCTTGTCACAGGTCTTCTGGAAGGAAGTCTCAGGCAGTCAGGCAGCTTATGTAGAATGACACATTATATAGTACAATTTATTTCAACCCCTCAGGCCCCAAGCCTGAAAGAGGCCTTGAAATTCAAGGCTAGGGGGTAGAGTTATATCTATTCTTGTACATAGCTGGAAGGGATTGGATCAAAGTTCATTCTTGAGTGTATCTGTTTCCTCTGGGCTGATGGACTCCCCAAATCTGGGGTGTCATTTCAAACACGCAAACACAGGATGAGACGTCGCCGTTATCGACCAAAGGTTTGTGGTTAGGTTGAGCCCAAGCAGCTTCCAGCTCTTTGCCTAATGGGCTCCCTGAAGGAACACCAAGCACCTGAAATCAAACAAATTTAACACATCTGCGCACAACTGTCGCCGTGTGAAGTTACAGCATGTTATAGCAAGAAGAACCCTAAACCAGAACCTGGACATCCCAGTGTAGCGAAGCGGGGCCACTCCTCTCTCCTTTCCGGAACGACCATCTAGGTGTCGGACACGATCCACATGTCGAGGCCTTGGAACCACCGTGGGACGAACGGTTCCGGCCGTGACCCGGTTTCGCCCGGCGGGACGAGTCTCTCCGTTGGAATCGTTTTGGGGGTTCGCAGGCTCCACGTCCTGCCTGCTGCCCGAAGAGGTGGTCGAAGGTCTGGACATGCTGCGCGCCCCGCCCTACTCTCTCCACGAGCGGCCCGTGGGAGGCCCTATAGATGATTGACGATGTAAATGGCCATCCCAGGTGATCTCTGCTAGAGAAGTTATACTATATCTACATCTACCCACTCACCTTGCGGGTGCTATAGGATCTTCCTTTGGCCCGGACTCGAGGCATCGTGCTGCAGCTCGCCAATCCATGCTGTTCTGCCGGATATAAGGTAGTTGCCGGTGGGACAACGCACTGATATGTCAGAATCAAGCGTGATATATTCAGAATTTTCAGCATCAACCCACCCCGTCCGGTCTGGTTACCAAGCTATTGGCGGCATTCATCCCTGTTGAAAAAATATGAAAAAAACACATTGCGTTAACAGGCAATGTTTATCAATAATTCACATTCCTTGTCTTCTAGCACGAGAAAACAAAGGAGATCATTTTCCAGACTCGTCCTCTTTGAGCCACGTCCTGCTCTAACCTCTCTGTCCACTCCTCTCAGAGGAGAGATCGGGTGACGACTGTGAGTGACGCAGCCTGCTTTTGAGGTACGAATTTGCAAAGTCACAAAACCTGCAGCTGTAAGCATGTGTAAACTAACTAAGATTGCAAATGATTGTCACAAACTCCAATGTGAGACTTCCCTCTCAATGTTGCAACTGATGTGGGGCAATAGTCATCAAGAGGGTCTGGATTTCTAAGCAAGCTGTTGATGAGGCTGGGGCACCCGTGTCAAACAAAGGTGAAAACGCGGTTTTGAGTGCCACAACTCTTCTTGATCATGTCCCGCTCTCGGAGCAAACTTTCCCGTTGCTCCGAAGTCCAAGAGCAAACACCGCCCCGAGGTGCATCAAAGTGGGAACGGAAGGCGGGCAACGACCTCGATGGGAAAGGAACGATGATCGAAGGCACCGCCGTCTTTGAGAGACCCCCGGTGCTTGAAGCCATGGAAGTCTCCAACCACAAGTGGTGAACATCTCCAAGCAGTGGGGATCCAACGAGAAAAACTCCCAGGATAATGTGAATCACAAAGGGATGACTTGCGATAGTGGCTGCTAGACTCCGGTGTTCAAGCTAATCATCCTCATGCACACAATATGGACGCTTTCCCAATACAACCCTTTTGCCTACTTGTTCTGGCTTGTCCCATATTCCATGAGTGACTTGCAAACCGCACAACATGTACCCATTCATTGCATTCCGACAGTATGTCTGGCATTGTCTTGCAGAGTAAGGAAGAAACACAGCAAACCAAAACTAACAACCAATGACATGGAGTTGACCCAAGCCAATGACAATATGACAAGTTACAGTAACATCATATTGTATAATATGAAACATATTCTAAGGAGTTTTCAAATTGATCGCACCATCCCATGATCATGGGATTGTGCCCAAACAGCTGCAAGACTCTATAGGAGGCCCCTCAATCGACGAGGCAGAGGCCGAAAGCACTTAGGCCATGGTGGTTCCAGTGGATGTTCCGTTTCTTTTGCAGTGAAGTCGACATCGAGCACCAAGACTCTACTAGGTCTTCAAAAAGACAGAGTGGCCTGAGTGGTTCGGTCACGTAATATATCGGCTCACTTAAGCTGGGAGCCTCAAGTTTGGTCACTTCGAGCAAGCTGGCCTGTAGGTCTGCAGGTATCAATCTCATAGGCAAGGTTCACTTTTACTGTTCATTAAAGCGTTGTAGCTGGCTTGTTGAGCCTTTGTGCCAGCCATCTAAATGCCAGCCAGGTGAAAGGTAGAACTCTTCCACAGAGTGCCTGGTGTTCTGTAGCATGTCACATACCTCTGCGGATCTCTGGGGATTGGTTTGTGACATACTTTGTTTAATGATATGTTTCTTCCTGCTGTCTCATTCACCAGGTTACCACCCTCCAGGAACTCACAGCAGCAACAAGGGACATGATGCAGCCATTTCTTCCACATTCCTGATCATGACCGTGATGCCTTGCCATAAATTGACATGATACCCAAACACGACCTGTCTGAGACTGCCAGGACGGACTGCCGCCCCAGAGGTCGACCCCTCTGGCAGTCTGCCACCGCAGTCGGCAGTCTCAGGAGTCCCATGGGTCGTGTCTGGGTTATATACATGTAATATACATTCCCTATGGATCCACATACCGAACCTCAGCTACGGTGAGGACGGAGACTGTTTATGTATAGGCTGGGTTGCGGCCCAATTACCGTACCTGAGAAGGTATGTGGATCCATAAAGATTCATGTAGGACTCTCGATTATTCACTCCCCCATGTGGATAGAAAAACAACTCTTCGTATGGGGCGTATCGTTTTTCTTTTTTGAATCGATCGCTATCAGTTTTGAACAATGTTGAACATACTTCCGTCTTTGGACTGCTTTTCCGCATTTGGTTGTTCCACCGCGATCACCGGTCTTCTGGCTTCCACCGTGGCGACAGGACGATCGACCACTCGGCTCCACACGAACTCCGCAAGACCACTCCCTTCTGGGGTTTCCTCGGTGTCGTCCGGTGTCGTCCGACCACCCCCGAAAAGAAGCTCCAATCTGTGTCACTGTGAAATCGGCGAAAGCATGTTTCAACACGAAACCTTGTGTGAGATCTGGTGATGTGAGCAAATCACATGGGTGTGCAAAATAGGGAGACCTCCCAGGCAACGAGACCCTGGAAGGTTCGAGAAATAGACAGGGCGATCGGAGGTCTCCCTCTTTAAACAAACACACACATGGCATCTTCAATCGCAGTAGGAACCAGCACATGACACCCGCTTTTGCCGGTTGATTTTGGAGATGTTTGGAAGGCATCGCCTTTTTGGTAGAAAAGCCTTGTGGAGATTGGTGAAATCTTGTTTTATAAAGTGTGGTAAAACTCCAAGATCCTCAATCCGAAGGTTTCTCTAGACCTGACTGTGTAGATCGGTAAATAAGTGCACCTGGTGGATGATTTGCTCTGTCCGTTTCCGCCTTGTCGCAGAAAATCTCAAGCACATGATTGATTGTGGGCGACTCAGCGACTCCACCCCTGAAAGGGTACAAGCCAATAGAGCGTGGCCTCATCACCCACATACGAAAATCATTGTATAAAGGAACATAAAAGGAACATGGCGATCTAGCGGTCCGTGTGACATGGGTCCATTATTGGTTCTCAGGAGTAGTAGCTACCAGTAGAAGTGTTAACATTATTGAGTGATCTACATGCTCAAAAACCTGCAACGACTCTCGTGCACTGTTCTATTTCACCAATCACAACGATCCCATGGAGATAAGCTAAGAACATCCGAACCCGTGTCTGCTGCATATCAATAGGATCTGATTTGTTCCAACCACCCCTCAAGCGCATCTCACGAACCCTATGCAGAATTGTCAAAACAAAATCCCCAAAAAACTCAAGAGAACCGTGTCAAAGTAGGAAAATCTTCATCTCACCAGAGAATCCCTAAAGCCATGCCCAGGGTCGGAGAATCCTGATCTCAGTTGAGTTGATCGAAAGATCGTGGGTTGCTTCAACAGTCGATACTACAGTCTCACATCGACATACATCGACTGTAGGGCTCAGGACATGGCGACCTGCACGGATCCCCTCTCAGTGCCCATTCGCTGCAGCTTTTCGCTGTGCCCGCGGCTGGAGTGATGGCTGCTTCGACCTCGTTTCAGCACGGAATCTTGGGGTGCAAGTGCCAGCGACGAGCGCCTTTGGGTGCCAACTGCTTGGTACTGGCAAAAGAAGGATTCATCCAAATTCAGGCCCCCTAAATCATCCAAATTCAGGTCACCCAGAAAGGATGCACCACAGCCAGCTTGGCTTCCACTCACTGCGCAGGCTGCTTTCGAAGCGGGGAAGCACCAACTCACCGGTCACCAGCTCAGCCCAGTCCACCCGGTCCAGTGACTATACCCAAACACTCCGTGTACGACTGTCTATCCCTAGGAATCGAAGTACACCTTCTCAGGTTCGGTACCAAGTCCTGGACCCTCCAAACCTATACAAACCGGATCAAAACAGTGCCTCCAATCACCTCCACAAAGGGTATGGAACGATCCCTAGGGTATGGGACATAGGTCGTAACCTACCATGTTCACGCGACCAGTCCACCATTGGCCACGCCGCGCCATGACCCAGTCCACTCCTGGCGCCGACCCACAGCCATATATTGGGGTGGTTTCAGGGGTCAATGTAAGCACATATTCCAGTCCCTTGGAGTGTCTGAGATGTCACCACTGGAAGACTTCAAGGGATCTCGATTTGGTCTCTCAGAACTACCCGAGCATCCCTGCCGCTTGATCCCTTTCCCTGCCTGAAGCATCCCGAGAGCTGCTCAACATGGGCGGTGGCTCGGCAGTGGGCAGCACCATCCGCCGAGTGATGGGATCAGGCGTGTAGCCCAGGTGCTCATAGGTCTCCTCAGTCTTCGTGTTCTTCATTGCCCCGTTCCCGTTCCATCCGCCGGGTGATCGCCATTCGGGTGCATCGTTCGTGGCATTTCTTGGCTGCGAACACAAACACGAGTAAGTTCTAAATGATCTCAACAGTCTAGGTTTTCTCAAAGGGAGTCACCTACGGAATTCCCCGTCACCGAACACCACTAAGCCCTGGTTCCGAGACCCACATGGGACGTCCCCAATCCCACATAAGGGAACGATCGTCTTGCATGTCTGGAACATCGTCACCCGCCCAGTTCCATGAAGTTCCATGTGGGTCTTTTTTTCGGGTGTAGCCATAAATCCTGACCGGAGCAAGCCATGCGGTTCCGCCCGGCCATGCGGTTCCGCCGGCGCCAGCAACGGATCCACACCGATCCTGCCGACCAAAGGGCCGCGACCGAGGCCAAGCCGGGCAAAAGGTCCTGCACCCGTCGCCTGGGATGGATGGATTCGTAAGGTCAATGGTAAAGAAGGCGTTGCCGTGGAAGAAAGCGGCACATGATGTGTGCTTTGTTTTTTGGACATTGGATCGATTGGTTGGATGCCTTTCTTCATTTGATTTTGAGGATGTAGCCGCTTGTAGCCATTCACTAACCACTGGCACCACTGATCTCGGTTTCGGAAGCTGAACACGTTGATTGTCAGAAGAGAAGAGAACTGCTTTTGTACTGATGTTTACGGCCTCTCATCCGTAGATACAGCATGATGAGTCACCACAGTAGACAAAAGGCATGTTGATTATCGCTCGCACTTTAAGCCGCAATAGTAGAACGAAGCACGATCTGCTTGGAGCTAGTTCTCTCAGCAGCTTATGCTGAGCTGTGGACCCATACTTTCGGTCATTCCCCGAGGACATGGACTGATGGGCAAGAAAGGACTGTTGTTTCTTTGCATGTCATGTGAGCCTAAACCTGAAACATGTCCAGTCACGTCCCTGATCTCAGCAGAGTTGGCAAAAAGGGTCATCGAATAGGTCAACTTATGAGCAAAGGTTCCAAACATATTGGATGCTGTGACTGAGCTCTTTTCTTGACAGCTCTTGATTGCTTCGTTGATTCCTCTCTGCTGGCAGAAGCGAGCCCTGCAAGTGTCCGTGCTTCACTCCCCCCTCTTAACCGCTACATCCTTTGCATAGAACATGTCCAACAGGTGGCCCATGTCATATCAAAAACAACTGAAACCAATGGGCATGGACCCCATGCCCAAAGGGATGTCAATTGCTGCTCCCTGTTGTCAAAGAGAAACGTCTTGATAAACATCGCTGGGGTGGAGAAACGTCGGTTGGCAGAAAAAACCGATCGAACCTGGGGTGTGGGGTCGAAGAACGCAGCCATAGAATAGAACAACTATATACCTAGCACTTCCAATGGGTGCCCAATGGAGGCCTGTAAGTAAGGTAGGGTAGTCTATTGGACACCCATTGGATGACCCTGGTATACACCATTGAATATAGCCTGTTGCCTGAAAACACCCCTTTGCTGAGGGCTTTAAAAGGTTTAATCCTCCATGCCAAATACTGTAGTGTTGTTTTGTAATTCCCGGTCATATCTAACCTGGTGCAAGGTGGGTTCCCTCATGTCAAAGCGTCTTCACATCCGAACATCTTCCTGGAACCTGCCCTTTGTCCCAAAGCCTGTGGCGTACGGGCCATTCACGATCAGCTTGCAGATACAGCCTGAAGAGGCCGCAGGCTGAAGCAGAAGAAAGCAACACAACAAACCAATGTGTTTCGGGTTGGAACTTTCAGGACCAAGCTCATTTTGGTTGTTGAGTACTCGCCCTTTTGGAGTGAAGTCATCCTGAAAGCTCCAAGTGACCCAAGCTTGGTCGGGTATTTCAACATGGGCAAGCTCAGCTTGGATTTGCTCTTCAGGAACCTGGAAAAACACACATTCCGCATGTCAGGGGACTTACCTATATGTAAACCAGCTCCGCGAAGGAAGGTAATTAGTGTTCATACTCAGCAAAGGACGTTCATTTCCCTATGCTCCAAACGGCCGATTCTCGGAAGGGAATCAGCCAGGAGCTTGCTTCTTCACCTCATCGACCGGGAGCTTCAGTCTGAAGAATCCTTGCTGAGGGATGTCTCTGTGGGTGATCTAAGAAACTTTTCCGAACGTATCTAAGACCTCAGGTGTGGCCCTTAGCCTGTTAAAGCCTGTTGATGATCCAAGACCTTCAGTTTTCATGACCGAACATCCTGAGAACTTCAAGTTCGACCAGTTTCGACTACGCCACGTCTTTCCAATCGAACGCCCGTGCTTAGAAGAACGGCCAATGTATGTCAATGTTTCGATCGACAAGTCCTCTTCTGGCGCAATGAACAATGAACTGCACAGGGTGAAACGGCAACACTCGAAACGGATTTTACGAAGGAGAACGCTCATTTTGGGGGTGAAAACCATGGTGACCAGTAGATGTTCCTGTCAACCAAGGGACTATTATTATTGCTTCTATGAACTTGTGCCGCACAATACATTCTTAAAGAAAAATGTATGTCTAGAGCCCAAACATGATCCCTGCTTTGATAGGAAAGGACCATATGTTGTCTGGTTGGTGCTCCAAAATAGAGGTTACTCAGGTTCTAGCAGTAATTAGACAATGTATAACTATAGTAATATAATTACAATAACTATAATACATATTTATTGCAGTAGCATTGAAAGCCCATCCATCTATCCCTCAAAAGGCCGTCCACGCGGCTGGTTGGCACGGATTTCCTCGCCCCGCTTCACACACTCGCCTCGCTCCGGCGGCCCATTCGTCGAACCAATGACCAATCTGACCGACCGGGAATCAATAGAGGTCGATTCCTACCATTACTAACTATCCAATGGGTGTCCAATGGACTACCCTACACTGCTTAGGGATCTCCATTGGACACCCATTGGATGCTGCAGGTAGGTCTTTTTGCCCTCTATGAATCAATCAGGCCATCAGGCCATCTAATTTAGGGATTGAACGTTTCAAGATACCTCCTCTTTTTTCGGCGCTGACAACGCAAGTTTGAGGTTCAGCGGTTGCGGGTAGGACACTGTCCTTCCATGGAAAGCTGCACAGATCCAAGTGGACATCAAACTACACAAACCCCGCACTGCACTTTATCCCGGTAGAATCCTTCGAATCATCCCCTCCACACACACCCAACCAATCAGATCACATCCTGTAGAGCAAATTTGCATACATTTACCAGGGGAGCAGGGGACCGCTTGAATCCGGTTTTCGGCTGAGCAAGGTGAGGAATCACCGGGACAACAGGTTTGCCCTGCAAAACCTGTTCAACGAAATACTCTTGTCCTATTCATTTCATGCAAAGTCTTTGCACGACAAGTGAACTAATTACAGAGTCAACTATTTGTCAAGAACCGACCTGAAACAAGAAACATTCACACATCCTGTTAGTAACCTGTTGGTGGCAGACTGGAAGTACCTTAGAGTTGTGTCTGCCGCATGCTGCCACCACTCCTTAGACCTATGTAGTGGTTGACTTGAAGTTAAATCCTGCCATAGGTTTGGACTGCCATCCACTTCAGCACATGTTCATTAAACATTATAACTTATAACATACAAAAACATAATAACACCACTCCATTCCAAACCCCTCCTCTCCCAATCCCTCTCATCCTTCGCCATCCTTCGCCCCTCCCGGTTTCCCTTTCGACTTCCAAGCGTCGATAGACCTTCAGCGCACTCAGCGCGTCGAACTTCAGCGCGGAGACGCCCGGGTAGTGCGGCTCGGGCTTCTCGGGGTCAGGCGGTGCGCCTCGGTGGTCGCGGTCGTGTCGCGTCGCCGGTCGCGCCGGTCGCGCCAAGTGGTAGGGGGCCAAGGAAGTCTCTTTTTCAGTCGAAGGAACAGGCGTTTTGCCAGGCGCTGTCTACCCCAAAGGCCTTCTTCCAAAACATGCATGTATATACTTCCATTCACATGATTCATCGTTGCCCCAATCAAAGATTCAAATCCATAGCCATGGTTTGTGCCTCATCTCGCTTCACTTTTGGTGAACGAAACATGCAAGAAGAGATCGAATCCGTCGTCTGCTGGCCATAAATCCAAGAGTCCAAAGCGTGCTGTGGGCACCCCCAATGAAACCATGGCGCCAGCTTCCCAGCTTCCGAAGAGAGTATCAAGAATAATTGATGCAGCAAGTGTGACAGTGTTTTACTCCCCTCTCGGACTTGCGCGGACTTGCCAAACAGGAACCTTAAAACAGTTTGACTAACCTCTTTTTTTCTCAAAAAAATGACATGAGCAGTGTGACTTGCCCAAGTGGTTTACCAAGTCTGCAAACAAGTCATTCAAGTACAAGTCACGCTTACCAGTGGTTTACCAAGTCTGCCATGGAAGTCATCAAGCTACGTTCGCCATGGCTGTCTGCCTCCCGAAACGCTCGCCATGCATGACCTGCAGTTCCGCGGGGGTAGGGGGGGGAGGGAGCGATATATGAATGAATCGGTGGCCAGGGTCGCCTCCGATTCCGGGTGTGTCAGCTGTTGCCCTCAAAGGCAGAACTTCCGGGTGTGTCAGATGTTGCCCTGTGCGTCGCCCAACTGCTTCAGAAGGCTCCCTGGCTAATCGAATCGCTGGCTGGCCCCTGGTCTTCCAGACTGGTGCGGTGAGGGAGTCACATCTGGTCCACCATGGCGGCGTCCGTTCTGGGAGAGACACACCTGCTTGATGACTGGAGTCGTGCTTGATCCTGTTCCCTTCCAGTTGGGACGTGATGGGATGTGTTAGCTGTCAGCCCCGAGGTCTAATAGACCTCGGCAATGGTAAGCATTAAGAACTAAGTTAACCATAGATCCATATACCAGGACCCTCTAAGGGGTGCCCAATGGAAGCCCTATAGGTATTGTGGGGTAGTCCATTGGACACCCCTTGGAGGGTCCTGGTAGGTGCTCCTAAGCAATCAAGGGGAATTCAACAATATACCTGACAACATACAAAGCAAATTCCCATTGCGAACACTTAGCACAAAAAAGTGCTTCAGTGTTTTTTTTCTCTATAAGTAATTCATCCTTTCTGTGTAGTTATCTTCCTTCCAAACTATGTCAATGTGAAAGGCGGTATGTGGCGCTCTAGTGCATGCTGGGAGTGCCCAGTGATGCTGCATGAAAAAAGATCCGCCATGGAAACTCTTCCTTCAACCGTTTGTCCATGCAAATGAGGTCCATGCGTTGCCCAGTCGTTTCTCCTCGCCCAGGGAAACTCAACACACGTGTCCTTCGGGCGGCCCCGTTTGGGCGCCGCCTTCTAGGATGGTCTGTACATGGTCACCTCATGTCACCTCGAAAACTGCACTCACCTGCCATTGACGACGTCATGTGCAGCTGGAAGAGCATCAGCATACAGGCTCTGAAGATGTGTTCCGAACAAATCGCACAAGCAGGAATATGATCTAGTGGTTCATCATGATTAGTCTCTCCGGTGCCTTCCTATTCTAAGAGTCCCTTCTAACAACAGCCCACCAGCGGTGTCAACGATCCAACGAACGCCCAAGCTTCCATGCGCCTCGAAGAAGAGAGCACTGGGAGGGACGTGGACCGTGAGACCTCCTGCCATTGGATGGTCCCTTCTTCAGCGAAGACGGAGAAAGCTTGGGACTTTCAACATCCTCAGACAGCGGACTCACGGACTCACTTATCTTCAAAAACCATGACCCCCGTGGATGCACCTACAATTGACCCGTAAAACCATCCACCATCCCCATTTCTCGTGAATCAAATGCCAGTATAAACTGAGGAGGTCGTGTCGGGGTATGAAGCTGCAGGATGTCCAGTTTCCAAAGGCATAAACTCCCTGGAACTCACCTGGTCACGTGGCATGCCCTAGGCAAAGCCTTTTCCTCTACAAACAAAGGGTTTTCCACTCCACTTCCATGTGAGTTCCCGTGAGAGATTTCCCCTTTGCAAACGTGAGAAGTCTTCCCCAAGCACCTGGACTCACCAGGGTTTAAGACGGATGTGCACAGATTTCCTGCGCATGACACGATGGAGGGATGCCATGTAGTGGGACTGCCATAGGACTGCCGATCAGTTGGGGTGGTTGACTGGGGGGTCAATGGGGCGGCATATATGGCAGTCCCATGGAGTGTCTGGGATATAAGTTCATCATCTTACAAGTTCCGGTCTGACTCCCTAGCATGCATTGCCTGCATAGTTGTTAGAGTGTCCTGACATTGCCAGGGTGGGCAGTTGTGAATTACTGACATTATGCGCTGACATGATTTGCACGTGTCTTTGATCGCCCAAAAGCACCACCACAAAAAATGTCAAAGTGGTTGAAGCGCTCTCTCCTGCGGCCGTGATCTGGGCTTAAACCTCAGCAAAACAGGGTCACAAGGAATGTTCCAAAAGGAGGGCCTGGTATCTTAAAGAGATACCACACACCTTCGATGTGCCATTTGTTGAGCGATTGAGCTGCAGGTTTATCACCTAAGTATCAGTGATGGTCAAGTGTCCAAAGCAACGTATAATAGAGACCCTGCTCAAGCGCAGGCCCACTCACCAGCACCCAATCGCTGGATTGGCCCTAGTTTTGGACCACTTGGAGCAAGAATCTGATGTCTTGACCTCAACCTAAACCGGGATGCGTTTGGGCGGAGACCACCTGCAAAAAACCGAACCCGTAAAATCTCCGAAGGTAGGTGGCATAGAAAATGAAGTTGCCACATGTTGCCCTGGCTTCGAACATGTATGATACTTTCCAGGACCTTCAACGTTGGAGTCTCCGTTTGTTGTCTTTTACATGCTTATACAGTAGGTCTAAGTGACAGCCCCTTTGAAGATCCTGGTTTACCAAAACTCTGGGTGTACACATTCAAGAATGTAAGGACCTATCGTGACATTCTTCACCATGCAGTCACATCATATGCTCTTGCTCCATACCCCGCCCTTAAGGCCGCCCTTCAGCATCCGCGTTCGCTGCAAGGCCCCCACGTTCGCTGCAAGGAGGCCTCCGTGGCATTTCTCATCCTGAGCCGGACATGGATGGCACCACCCAAATCGGCCAAAACACAACTGTGGTACCTCTGACGCACAGGGTGCGCAGTACTCGAGACACAGAGCCGCCCTCAACTTCCCCACGCCCAGAGAACATGCAAAGCCAAAGACATCTAGAATCTGCCGTTGTCTCTAATCCTCCACCCACCCAAATACCACCCAAACACCACCCAAACGCCACCCAAACACCCATACTTCTTCGGCCCAATTCAGCTTTCGAATCCCCACAGGATCTGAAGGGCTGCGTCGCACCCCTGGGATACCCCTGCTCTTCAGCTGCGCGCAGCGCTTCCTCACGGCTGCCGACCACCTGCAGAATGCTCGTTCCACCCCCCCCTTTCCCAGTCGCTCCCTCAATCCACAGAAGAGCAACACAACATTTGGATCTCTAATGTGACGGGACCGGGAGTATATCTACTTTTTGGTTGGTGGGTGGTCCAAAGTAGAGGTCATGAAGGGTGGATTCAGAGGCTGTGTATTGCACACAGTGGAAGCAGATCCCCTCGGACAGCCAGCGCCTTTTCATCCTAAGACGCCCCTCAAGTCTTGAGAAGCGAGCGGTGCACTCTTGTCAAACCCTTAGCTTCCGAGAAGCTTTGTTTTCTATCTGCCAGCTAGTTTTTTTGGCTCCCACCCTCCTGGAAGCCAGTTTTGGAAGCCCAATTTTTTGACTGCCAGCTGTTTTTTTTGTCTGGCAGCTTGTTTTTTTAGCTTGTGAAAACTGTCTGCCAGCTACTTTTTTTAGCTTCTGACAAAAAAACAAGCTTCCAGTATTTTTTATGTTAGCACCCCAGAAGCCAAAATTTTTGGCTTCTAGAAGCTTGTTTTTTTGGCTTCTAGAAGCTTGTTTTTTTGGCTTCTAGAAAACTTGGTTTTTAGCTTCTAGAAGCTTGTTTTTTTAGCTTCTGGAAATGGTAGCTCATTAACAAACTAAAAAGAGTATACACATATAGATATATATATATATAGATAGATAGATATTTACTAACCATGTCATCAACCTAGCCCAAGCTCAAGAGCATAGATCTTTTTGGAAATGGCTCGTCCTTTGCCGGTGGAGCAGACCAAAGGCGATGGAAGAATGGCAAAATTGGTTGGCCTCATCTCTGGCTTTGTGCCAGATTGTAGCTTGAAAGATTTTCCCCTTGAGCCAGACATGGCTATTTCAAAGCAAGCAACCTTTTTGTCTGTCTGGTTTGCTGAAAAGCCCACTAAGCCTGAAGCAAGGCTCTCTTTCCAAATTGCTTGCCCTAAAATGTCAAATTTGGACAGAGGTGAGATCATTCAGCACTTGGTGCAATACAAGAGATGGCTGACCAAAAAAGCTAAAAATATGAAAAATGGAGAGAAGACAAGCCCTGCAGTCCTCCAAGTGATGAAAGCCATGGGCTTGGCACCTATCGCCAGTGAACCCCAGCCTCAGCCTGAAAGAATGCTAAGAAGGAAAACACACTTGCCATTTGATTCTCTTGTGGCCCCTGAGCCAGCAATGGCTGCAATTCAAAAGCAAGACCCCCAGCCTGAAAATAACAAGGCAACAATTCAAAAGCAAGACTCCCAGCCTGGAAAGGCTCCAGCCACCAAATCAAAAATTTTAATGCTTCAAGGCAGCAGCACAAAGTCCAAGGTGGAGAGCGAAAGCTCAGGCAGTGAAGAAAAGGAAGCTTTTGTGGTCAGCACACAGGAAGTTTCTTCCACTTCATCTGGTATAGTGACCCCTCAAAAGCTGAAACCCAAAAATGGGAAGAATGGCAGCTACAAAAGGCCTGCCAGCTGCATGACCCCCCAAAAAAAGCCAGCAATGGCTCCCAAGACTGCAAAAGTTACCAAGCCTGCAAAGCATGTGCACATGGCAACCCACAACACATGGGTAGCAAGCTGCAGCTTTGGCTGGGTCAAAAAGGGCAACTTCAAGGAGAAGGGCTACATCCAAGCCAGGGATGGCTCTGAATCCAAACCGTATTGTTTGGTGAATGTCAATTTACCAAAAGGAGATGACCAAAGCAAAGTGTTGGAAGCTTGCTTTGCTGAAGCCCAAAAGCCAAGCCTGGACAAGGCCCATATGGTCAATTTCAAAAACAATCTCTTGAAACAGCTTTGAGCACTAAAGCCTGCAAAGGCTCTCAGCCAAAGAGTTGGGCATGGCAAAGACCATACCACCACCAGCCTGCAAAGGCCTTTCTCCAATGAATGAATTTTTGAAGACAAAAAAGGAACTTTGAAAACAATCTCTTGAAACCAATCTCTTGAAACAGTCTCTTGAAACAGCTTTGCTACAGCCAAGTGGCTCAAACCCAGGTCAACCACATGACAGGCCACACCACAGATACACACACACCACAACAGCAACAACAATAAACACACACACATACACACCACAACAGTAACAGCAACGCACACTTATATGGCTGTATGTGAGCAATATACAACACACACACACAAGTCTCACACACACACACACAAGTGTCACAGCACACACACACAAGTGTCACAGCACACACACAAGTGTCACAGCACACAGAGCAGTCGCCCCTTGTGCAGCCATGTTGTGGCTTTTGGCTGTCTGCTGCTGCCTCTTTGCCTGCAAAGGCACCCAAGCCTGCAAAGGCAAACTCACAACCAGCCAGAAATGGCTCTTTTTGGCTGCTGCAACCATGGCAGCCATGCCTGCAGAAGGCGCACCATGGTTCTGCTGGTGGAGGGTGAGGGTGTGGGATGGTGAGTATCACTATGTCCACCCCTCAGGCTGGCATGAAGAATTGCCACAATCTTATGTGGACTGCTTGGAAGAGCTGTTCCAAGCAGAGCCAGAAATGGCTGCCTACATCCATGGCTTGTCACACATGGGCCATGATGTGGGCCCATACCCACCCAATTGGCACCATGCCAGCCAGATGTGGGTGTCCTCAAGAGACCAGCCTGAACCAAGGCTACAGTATGTTGCTAGGCCCCTGGATTGTGGGACACTGATCCAGGGGTACTATGCAGATACTGATTTTGTGAGTTGGGGAAGCCAAGGTGAAACCCCAGACTGGGATCCCCAGTGGGGTGACGCCTTTGGCCCTGGCCCACCCAACTCTGCCAGTGATGGCACTAGCAGAAGCTCCATTGCCAGAGATGGCACCATCACAGTGCAGTCAACCCGCTGTGTGAGAACCTCATGCCAGGAATGGCAAGACTGGTCTTCACCCAGCCAGCAGTGGCAAGACTGGGGGGACTGGCAAGACACCTGCCAGCAATGGCAAGATTGGAAGAGTTCTGAAGCTGCCCCTCCAAATCCAGACAGGTGGATGTTTCATGGCAGGGCTTCTGCCAAAAGAAGAGCTCAAAGAAGAGAGTTGGAAAGGAAAGGTGAAGAAGTCCCTGAGGAGTTAAAGCCCAGGGTCCACAGTCTGAATAAGGCTCTCAAGAGGCAAATGTATGAATTGCATCGCAAAGCCAGGGAAATGGCTCAAGAAAAAGATCCAGCAAAGTTGGATGAATGGGAAAAGCAACAAGCAGACTGGCTAGCCATTGTTGCTAGGGAAGATGCAGAGAGGAGGGCCCAAGAGGCTTCCTCTGCCAAGGGGAGCACAAGAAAGAGCAAGGCTTCCAGTGCCAGTGATGGCAATGGCAGGGAGAGGTCGAAGAGTGTGGGGACAAGGTTAGGCAAAGATGGGAAACCAAGATGTGAGCACATGCCAGCAGATGGCACCCTCATTCAAGGTGGGGATGAGGAGGGGGAGGAGGATGAAGAAGATGATGGTGTTGGAGTGCCTGAACAAGGCAAAAAGAAAAAGAACAGGAGGAGAAGCAAAACAGCCAGAGGGAAGAAGCAGCCAAAGGAAGAAAAGCCAGACAATGGCTCTCAGGAAAAGGATCCTAGTGGTGGAAAAGATGGTGGTACTGGAGGTGCAGGGGCAGCAGAACCAGTTGCTGCTCCTTAAATGCCAGCAATGGCAACTTGCCAGCAATGGCAACTTGCCAGCAATGGCACCCTGCCTGAAAAGGCATTCTACCAGCACTGCAGCTGAGAGTTTTTGGAAAAAAAGGTGCGCCTGCCTGCTTTCAGTGGTACTTCGAAAGGGTTGAAAAAAGGAACTTTCGGAACTTTTGGACTATGGAACTTTTGGAACTTTCTATTCCTAGATATTGTTTTCTTATATAAATCCAAAAGTTCCAAAAGTTCCGAAAGTTCCAAAAGTTCCTGGTCACATTTTTCAACCCCACCCAAAAAAAAATCTGCAGCCATTTTTCTGACCTCAAGCTTTAAACAACTGGCCAGTGTCTGTAGCAAGATGGCAAAAAGAAAAGCTCCCGATGTGAAGGTGGAGCCACCAACCCCCAAGAAGAAAGCAATGGCTAAAGCAAAAGCAAAAGCCAGTGATGGCTCTGCCATTCCAGAGGCAACTCCTTCTGTAGCCTCTGAGGCAGCAGCTATGGAAGCCCCAAGTACTGAATCCAAGCCTGCAAAGGCTAGAGCAGTGAAGGATGGGGAGTTGCCTGCTCCTTCAAAAGATGCTTGGAAGGACATGCACCAGCAACTTGCCAGGAAAGCCAAGGCTGGAGACACAGCCCTCAAGACTGCCTGGGACAAGGCATGTGCCAATGGAAGCCAACAAGCCAAAAGAGAGTTTTACTACAACACTTTCCTTCTGGATGAATCTGCAGCCAGTCGCAGTGTACACAAACAAAGCCTGGAAAGGCTCAAAAAGACTGACAAAGTCATCGATGGTTGGATGACCAAGTACCAGATAGCCAAGTTGCAGGGTGCTGACCCACAAGACCCAGACTTCAACAAGCTGGCAGAAGCTGCAGTACTGGGGTTGCCTGAGAGACCTCATGAGGTCAAAGCTTGGGCAGAGCTGGGGCACAAGCAATACAAGCTTGAGAAGCAGCTTGCGACTGAAAAGGAAAGAAGTTATGAGTCCACCACAGCAGCTCACCAGGAGGTCAAGGACCTGCAAGCCCCTGAGTTCCAGCAAGTGGAGAAGGCTTTGATGGCTGTGCCAGAGTCCAGCCAAGTGACTCTGGGTGGCAAACCCAAGCCTGACAGGCCTCTACCCAAGCCAGAAATGGATGAGGTCGAGACCACCATGGAAGAGCAGTACAAGGCAACCTACAAAAGCCTGAAGAAGGCTGTGACTTCCTTAGGGACAGCAGTGGACAAACTGCTGCTCCTCAAAGAAGCCTGCAAAAAGGCTCAGCTCACTGCTAACAGCAGCCAACTGGATGCAAGCATCCAAGAGCTGGATGGTTTGGAACAGACTTACAGCAAGTCGAAGACTGCATGGCTGGAAAGATTGGGCCAATGGAAAGAAAACTTGGATG